TAGCACTAAGCTCTGAGCTCTCTGATGTTGCTGGGGACAAATCAGCCCCTCCAGGAATGAGCAGGGATGTGGGGCACTCAGAGTTAAGTGCCTGCTGCCCTAACCTCGGGCTGGATGTTTGAACAGAGCTCAGGGCAAGCCCTGTCTGCCATAAAACCTCTTTGGGATACAAAATTCATCTGCTTTGTTCTTCCATCCTCACTGCTGGTTTCAGCAGGGCTCAAGTGCTGGGAGTATCCCAAACCCCCTGGAGTGAGGGAGTGTTTTTCCCTGGATGTGTGGGGCCAGCTCCCTGCCAAGGGTGACTTCTCCTGCTGTACCAACCTGCAGCAGGAGCTCTGCCAGCAGCTGGTGTGTGGTCAGGGTCATCCCAGTCCTGGGAAACACTGGGATGGAGGCTGAGGAAGAGAGGGACACAGGTCCCATCCTGACTCGGGAGCACTCTGGTTCTGCCTTCAAGGGACACATTTGCTCTTCAGCTGATGCTCCTTTCCTTTCTGGCTGCTGCAGTTGTACCTGTACCTGAACCCATCGTTGAGCTCCCACACCTGAGCTAAGCCTGTGTTTCACAGCTCTTTTGCCACTGGGAGGAATCTGTCCCATTGCCACTGAAAATACAGCTCTGCCTGGATTTCTGTCCCAAATTTGCTGACATCTCTAGAGCTGCCTCCATCCTGTACCAGCTGAAATACTGGTGCTGAGAGAGCTGTGGGACTGTATCACGTTGGGAACAGGGTGTACCTGTGCTCTGCTCCAGCAGCCCATGTCTGGTGTCAGGCTGTTCTCTGAAAGGAGGAATCTGATTTAATTTACCCCAGGAAGCAGATGGAAGCTGCTGGGATTCCCAACAGTGCATAGCCAACCTCTGTGGTGTGAATAAAAACTTCTCTGAGGTGTCACCTGTCTCCTGAATCACTCAAGGGCTTTGAGGGGAACAGTTTGTGCCCTGAGCTGCAGGTAGAGCTGAACGAGGGTGGGTTGGTTGTGCACATCATGGGCTGCATCTCTCCCAGGGATGCTCATGGACTCTGGGCATTAATGTGACCTATCACCATGTTCCTGCAATAAAGACTGAAATGGTTTGGGTAGAAAGTCTGCATTTTGTGGTCTCACCCCACACACTTGTTACAAACCTCCTGAATGCAGAGGACAGACAGTGGGACTGAGGTCAATGCCAGCCTTTCATCCCCTGCAGGAAAATCCTTATCCCAGCTTCTGGACACCCTTAGCTGACCCTCTGGGGACAAAACAGTGTGTGGCCAGGGAAGAGTGGAGAGGCAGGAGCTGATTTTTGCTCTGGCTGGTGGAACTAACTCCATCCACCACCTCTGAAGACAGGTAACATCTCACCACCTGCTTTTGCTCAGGGCCAGGCAGGAGCTGCATGGCATGGGGTGAGGGTGGAGGGGCAGCTGCAGACATTCAGGCCTAATTTCTATGGGCAACACTTAAAAAGCCACTGGGTGGGGGCTTGGGTCAGTTCTGGTGTTCAGCTGTGCCCACTCTAGCTCCACCAGCTACTTCTGTTGCTGCTGGTGGTTACACCTCTGTGTAGAGCTGAGGGAGCTGGAGCAGCACTGGGTTGGGTTCTCCTGCCTGATACTGAGGTCAGTGATGATTTTATGTGTCCTTGCAGTGTTGGATGTTCATTTTTGGTGCCTGGCAGAGCAGTGTGGGCTGTGTGTGCCCTGTGCCACCTGCTCGCTGCCAACGAGAGCTGCAGGGTTGGACACAGCCTCTGTCCCCTGCACGAGGTGCTCAGGGCCAGGGAAAGGCAGCACCTTCCCCACCCCGGCCAAGGTTTTATTGTGCTGCCTCTTTATTGTTGTGTTTACAAGCCAGGCAGTTTATAGGTTTTCCTATGAATAGTTCCAAGGAGAAGGTAATTACCTTATCACATGCAGGATGATTTATAGCCAAGGTGGCAAGGGACATTCAAGCTCCACATCGGCTCCGTTTGAAAGACAATCCTCCTGTTCCTCCGCGGGGTCACTGGGTGGGGGAAAACAAAAGGGCTTTAGTGCCCAGCCCGATCCCAGCCCAGGGATGTCTCCTGTGGCTGAGCAGCCCTGGAGGGAGCGTTTTCGTGGGTTTGTGCCCATCTGCAGCCCTGGGGGTGCCCCTGAGGCTACCCACAGCTGTAGGTTCTGCCCTGGGCAGCCCAGCAAGGAGTAATCCAGGGGCTGCAGGGCTGGGGTGGTTGTAAAGGTCCTTGTATTTGCCTGTTGCCTGATCAGTGACTGCACAGGGATTGTCCAGGTGGATTGCACAGCACTGAGCTGGTGTGTGCCGTGGTGAAGCTCTCGGTTTTGTTGGCAAAACTCCTCTCTGGCTGTTGCAGACTCACTAACGGCGTCCGTGGGGACTGTGACATCCTCTCGACTTCTCCGAGCGATTTACTTTTAACTTTTTCCTTGCCCCGGCTAACCGTCTCCACGGCCTGGGAGCACGGGCGGTGATTTCCCGGGTACCCTGCGGCTGTCGCG